CTTCTAGTTCCATACACGTTTGCATCTTATGTTCCAAATATTACTGGATGATTGCAGTTGTTTGTTCTCATTTTGAGTCCTCTATATCAGCAAAAGAAGATCCCTAAAGTGTTACTCCACTCGTGTCACTAGGGTTGACTGCACTCTGAGGCGGCGGCTCCTCCCCAGTCACAGGATGAGTGCCCCCGCCAACCGGAAGGCCTCACTTGCTAGAATGCTGTCAAACACTAGTCTTCTACTAGTGTCTACTACCGTGTCTAAGGTTTCCAAGGGCTAATTCTTCTGAAGTGTATCACTTGTTTCTTCTTACTATGATTGTCTTTTCTTGGACTGGAAACTTAGCTGGAATCTGGCTACCATCACAACACTGCTGCTTGTTTTTTTGTTTTGGTTTTAAAACTGTTGGCATAGCTTCCAGCATCCTGGAAACACTCAAGCCACAACAGTACCTCAAACTGACAACGGAGTCATGGTTTTTACTAATAGATTATATTCATTCTTACTATTATTGCTACCAAGCATCTTTCTTAATTATATAGTGTGGCTATAAAATCATATCAGAAGTGTGTGTTTTTAACGAACCAAAATTTACTCTCTCATAGTTTAGGAGGTTCTAATTGAAGGTGCAAACTCTAGGAGATTATTTTCTTACTCTGTCATCTGTGATTATTTTCTTACTCTGTCATCTGTCTCCTTTCAACATCTGGCGGGCCTGACATTCAATCTCCCCTAGGTTCCAGAAGCTTCCCTGTGCAATGACCACAGACCCAAAGTATGTACTCCCACACAGTTCTTCTTGCTTGGTGGTACTGAGATCCCTGAATCATTGCTCACTTGTTTAATGCCTTTTATATCTCCAGTGAGATTTAATAAAGTTATAAACTAATCCTATAGATTGTATCCTGCCTCAGTAATATAAATGCCACTTGATCCTTCCTCATTAGCATCATGCTGTTATTGCTAGGTGCTGTCTAATTACTTCTGACGCATAATGAATCTAGTTGCAAATAATGGAACTAAACCAGGTCCTTGGCTTCCTGACAAGTGTTGCTATATTTGAACTCACTAGTATAGCTCCTATGCTAGTCCGTCTTGTTGAGAGACTTCCGCAAATGCTGTCCTCTCCTTTACTAAACAGAATGTCTTTCCCCAAGGATTAGTTGAAGCACACCTCACTTTTCAGAGTAAAATCTTTCCGTTTTAAGATTTTAAAGAGATCTTCTGCAGCAGCTTGGAACAATGAAATATGTCATTTGAGTTTCTGACTGCTATTTCCTGAACACTGATTGTGGACCCAGTAAAATGAAATCTTTGACAGATTCAATCTTTTCTCCATTTATGAAGACATAGTCTTTTTCCATCACAGATAATTCACATATACTCAATGTAATAGTTCAATCATATTAAGAAGAGCTGTATAATCATCAGCAAAATCCGTTTAAGAACATTTTATTCTTTCATTTAATCATTATTGTTAGCTCTGCATTTCCTTCCAACCTCCCCAGCCTGCCCCTGCAGAACATTATAATGAGAAAACTACACAAATAGAAGAGTGTCTCATGTTTATGGATAGCAAGATTTAATGTTATGAAAATGTTATTACTACTTAAAGAAAGCTCTACCTGCAACACAACCCTGACCCAAATTTCAGCTTCATTATTTAAAGAAATGGAAAAAGTAATTACTAAATTTAAGTTTCTCATATTATTTGCTCAGTATACAGATTGACTATGTGTGTTGGGAAAATACACCATGTTGCATATCTTTCCTGATTTTAAACAATGCAGTATCTCTTTGTCTTGCATGAAGAGCTGCCTTTTGATGTATACACAAGTTCTACAGCAAACTATTAAGTGTTCTGGAATTCCCATTCTTTTTTATCTTATTTGTAATTTGTTATGTTCCACACAATCAAATATATTTCATAGACAATGAAATACTAATATAAATTTTTCTGGAATTATCTGCTTTCAACAAAAATCTAGCCCCTATCAACAGTTATTACTTTCCTTCCATAGGTTCTGTTCTGAGTCATAGAAGTTTGAATTCAAAAGAGGTCAGAATAATTAAATCACATCACAAAATGGAGGATAATTATGTAACACTAAGAATCATTACCTTTCTAAGAATATACACGTTCTGGTGCATACAATTTAATCCATAACACTACAATTGAGTTTTTTCTGACTCACAATGACCTCATGCATAACATAAATGTTTTCTGATTCTGTGCAATTTTCACAACCACTGTTAGCATTAGCCCCTGGTTGCAGTCACTGTCTAGCTAAATAAAGGTCTTCACTATGCTGTCATTTCCATGGATTTATTCTGATAGTGACCCTACAGCATATAGTAAAACTTCCCCATACTGCTTCTAAAGCTGGAATCTTTGTAAGAATTTACTGCATCATCTGCCTCCAGTAGAGGAACTGGTAGGCTTAACACCACACTTTGCATTAGCAACTGGGTGTTTAATTACTCTAACACGAGGCCTCTTGTCTTTATTATTAGAATCTAAGTATTTTGAATCCAAGAACAATTAAAAAAGTATTTGCCAATTACTTCATAATTGTTTTATACTGATCTATGCTCCACACCCACTACCTGTCTGTCTGTCTGACTGTGGTGGCCTGTATTTTGCTGTGATGCTGGAAGCAGGACCACTGGTATTTCAAGTGCCACCTTGGTCACTGAAAGTGAACAGGTTTAACTGGAACAACTAGACTAAGAACAGACAACAAAGAATTCCTGGCTGCCACTTCATAGGACATCGCTGTTGAACACCTTATGCATAGCTTTGAAACATTACAGATACTATGCTAGACAGGGTTTCCTAGAGAAACAAAACCGGGACACTATATAATTTTATATATATTTATACAGATAGCTAGAAATATAAAATAAGAAATAAACAGTTAATTAACCTTAAAGCAGTACAAATGGCTCAGTGCAACTCACTCCCGTGAGATAGCTGTAAGACACTGGCAGTCCTTCAAATCTTGAGGGCTGCTGGTAGTCCTCTGTAGAGCAATTCAGGCTATCCAGGCACACGCAGCAAACAGCAAGGCAGGTCACCATCAGTCAGCCAGATGTACAGAGTCTGACAGTCGCCAGCTCAAGAGATATATACTCCAGTAGCATGGCAAAGTAGGTTTTGAAGGAACCTTAAATTACAGCAACACAATCCATAGGTTGGGTGTCCCACAAGTAGTGTAGCTTGCAAACTGAGGCACAGAACAAGCAAGGCAGCCATACACTGGTTTGATCATGAAAGAGCAAGAGACAAGAAAGGCGAGGCTTGCTGAGCCATTTAGCTCTCCCCCTTCAATTAATCCCACATGTGTTCCAATAAAGCTACCTATCACTGATACTGAAAGCTTAATGAATGGAATCAGAGCATTGCCTGAGAAAGTACCAAAGGAAGGGCCCCTTGGTAAATGGAGAAAAGATTGAAGTTGTTCAGAATTTTGTCTCGCTTGGATCCAAAATCAATGTACATGGAAGCAGAAATAAATGAAAAGACAAGTTGCATTAGGAAAATCTGCTGCACCAGATCTCTTTAGAATATTGAAAATCAAGGATCTTACTTTGAGGACTAACGTGTGCCTGACTCAAGACAGGGTATCTTCCATTTGCTCATATGCATGTGAAAATTACACATGGAAGAAAGATGACCAAAGAAGAATTGACGTATTTGAATTGCATGGTGGATGAAGAATTTTGAAAGTGCTATGGACTGCTAGAAGGACAAACAGAAGTATGACCAGAATGCTCCTTAAAGGCAAGGTTGTTGAGATTTTGCCTTACATATTTTGGACATATTTTCAGGAGAGTCCAGTTCCTGGAAAGGCATCATGTATGATAAAGTAAAGGGGCAGAAAGCAAAGACCCGCAAAGAGAGGGATTGACACCATGGCCAGAACAACAGACTCCGGCATGGGAATACTGTGGTTATCGCGCAAGATCCGACAATGTTTCATTGTGTTATGCATAGGGTAGTTATGGGTGGGAATCGACTAGATGGCACCTAGCAACAACAATAGAAGAAACCAAACATGTTGGTCAAAGGGAAGCAAAGGGTAAGATGAATTAAGAAAGACGTATACTGGAATGAAGACATATATTAATTATTCAACCTATGAGTAGGAATCAACTTGATATCACCTAACAACAACAGCAATACAGTTTTTTCCAGGTGTATAAATAAAACACACCCTCATATGATGCACATACTATTATGGGCACACACAGAAAGCAAATGCGGAAAAAAAAATCCCAAGTGGACATTTTAATTTCTCTTGGGATTTCTTCCTATCTATATTTATAAATTCTCCTTTTCTAATTCTCTTAATTCTTTTACTAGGCAGATTATATTTCAAATAGATGGAACTAGTGAATATTATGCTGCATGAAATTAGCCAATCACGAAAGAGACTGTTTTAAGAAGAAGAAAGAAAGAAAATAAGACTTCCCTACTAAAAGGAAGAGACACTGGTGACTTCCAAGTAGGGAAAGGCGAAAAGGGGTAAATAAAATAATGGATTACACTGTTGACCAGTGGTTAATTGGCCAAGAGGAACCAAGGAATAATTAAAGGGTAAACTACTAGTGTGTTTGATGACTATTTTAAAATTTATAATATAAAATTGATTATCTGAAATATAATCCCCTATTTAATTTAAAATTAAAAATTATTTTTGAAAAAGACTGTCAAATAGAGTCTGACATCCTTGCTAAACTCCTTGCCCTCTTGATCTTGTTTGACCTGCTCATCATTTTGTACCACACCATATAACTGGCCATGAGATGGCTCTGCTTAGGTTAAATGTCCACTATTGGAACCATCAGAGCAGGAATCATGGTCTTTTAATACTGTGAGGTGCTCTGGTGGCGCTGTGGGATAATCCTTGGACTGCTAAACACAAAGTTGGTGGTTCAAACCCACAAACCACTTTCTAGGAGAAAGATGACACTATCTGCTCTCACAAAGATTTACCACCATACTTACCTGGCAGGTGAGATATCGTGATCACAGAGGTAGTTTTCCCAGGGCGAGACTCATCCATTGCACTCCAGATGTGCTGACCCCTGTGATTTCCCCAAGTTTGGGAAAATCAACTGCACAATTTGTGGTAGTGGAGGACTGTGTTTGTGCTTTCCCCTGTTTAAAAAAAAAAGAAAAAGGATTTACCACCATGAAAACTCTACATAAAGTTGCTAGGGGCTAGAATGGACATCATAGAAGTGGGTTAGTTTTTGGTTTGATTAAATACTGTTGCCTCACAAATGACCAAACAGTCACAATCTTTTTCATGCATTAATCTAGTGGGAGAAAGACAAAGAAATTTACTAGGCAGCAAGTAGTTTTTCTCTCAAGGCCAAAAAAATTAATAGAACAAATCTATTAATTGAATATAATAAAATTTTAAACTTCTTTATGAATTAAAATGAAAATGTAACAAAAGTTGTAACCATATTTTCATATTTGAGCCTGCAATACAGAAAGATCAATAAAATGTTAGCATAGTTCTTAGGGAAAGCAAGTTGTTTCAGATAGCATCTTATAGTTGAAACGAGTTTGAGGGATTTTTACAAATGCACTGATTAGTGAAATTAAAATTGAAATGTTCTATACTAAATAGATAAGCTTAAGGGAAAAGTATTCCTAATTGAAAAACTTGCCCTTAAGAGAAATGTAATACAAATTAAGGAGAACAAAAGCAGCAAAAGAGCCTGAACAGTTTCCAAAAACTATACAGAAAGCATATTATGCATAAAGTTGGGACTGAAGAATAAATTTTAATTCACAGGGAACACTGTGCTCATATTACTTTTTAGAAATACTATAGAGTATCATATTGGTTTCGCTTGATTAACCTAAGAGCTGATATACCCGGGAATATTGCTAATTATTTTGTATCATTATGTTACTCATTGCTCCTCACAATTTTTTTTAAGAATAAGGATGATTCTATGGGATTAGGTTCTATGTAATTTATTTCTAATAATTGCATTATAATAGAAAAACATTAAGTTGAATTCTAGAACTCCATTAGCACTGCTTATTAATTATTGGGCTGATAACCGCAGGGTCAGCAGTTCAAACACAATAGCTTCCCTGTCCAAGAAAGATCAGGCTATCTGCTCCTGTACAGTGACAATTTTAATAATCCTATTCACCAAGAGTAAGATTTAACTCAAAGGTAGTGAGTGGATTTTTATGAGTTTATGCTATTTTACAAGATTTGATTTGTGTTACTTTATGTACCTAACTAAAAATCTTTACTGCCACTTGTATTACAGTTGTTAGTACGCTGGTGGCTTGTGTGTTGCTGTGATACTGGAAGCTATGTCATTGTTATTTCAAAAGCCAGCTGGACCACTGTGGTAGCTGCATAATCTGGTGCCAATTTGGGACTTGAGAAGATTAAGAGTGAAGGGGTGGAGTCTAGTCTGTCAATAGGGTCTTAGCTAATGAGGCCTCTGTGTGGACATGGCCTTCTCCTGAGGATTCTGGGAACTCCTGTATTTCCTCCTTGGAGGCAGGAGACACTCTCTCTTGGTTCACTCCCTATGAGACATTTCTGAGACGAAGCCACATGAAGCTACACTGATGCAGAACCACGTGGAGACCCCTGCCAGCGCGGAGATGCTTACAACACCAGAAGATCCACAAGACTTCCCACCCTCTGGCCTGTGCTCGTCCTGCATTCAGCATCATTGCATGTGCTTCATGAGTCTGAAGAGGTCTTTATAGATTGGTATCAGACATATGGGCTAATATCAGACTTATGGACTTGATTTGGACTGGGCTGGGATGTTTTCTCAATATCCAATTGCTCTTGTATATAAACCTCTTTCTTATACACATAAGAGAGGCTCCATGGATTTGTGACTCTATTCTATCCAGACTAACACAGTCAACCAAAGTAAACCGGTTTCAGCAAAATTCAAAACTAAGACCAGACAATGAAGGAGGAATAGGTTATGCCCTTCAGATGAATTAGTCAATGAAAACCTTATGGACAGCCTCAGAACATTGTCAAATACTGAAGATCCCAAGAATAGAAGCAGAACATAGTAGAGTTAGTGCCAGAAAATGAGCCCCTCAGGTAAGAAGGCAGACAAAATAGGACCAAATAAGGGCTGTCTTCTAAAATAGGGTCAACCATAATGACATAGATGGAATAAAACCTGTGGGGGCGAACCCTTTAGGGCCTTAATTTGCTTATGGGTTATGATCAATTTGTACCTGGATCATGGAATGCATGAAGTGTGAGTCTAGAAAAATTGGAAGTGTAAAAATTGAAATAGAACAGATAAAAATCAATATTCTAGGTGTTAGTGAGCTAAAACACACCGGTATTGGCCATTTTGAATAAGAAACATTTTAAGGCTTATGGTACACAGAATGACAGATTCCAGAGGAATGTTGTCATATTCATCTTCAGAAAGGACATTTCAAGATCTATCTTAAAGTATAATGCTGTCTATTACAGAATAATATCCAAGAACATGCAGGAAAATTCAGTCAATATAGCTGTTATTCAAACTATTCACTAAACGCAAAAGCTAGTCATATAGAAACTGAAGAATTCCGCCAATGTCTTGGTTTGAAATTGATGACACATGCAATCAAGATGGATAGATAATTATTGGGGATCAGAATGCAAAAGTTGGAAACAAAGAAGGAACCAAAATTTGCTGACACAGAGTCAATTCTGCCTCATAACAACCCTTTAAGACAGGAAGAATGTCAGAGACCTTAAATCTTTATAGGCATAGAAAGCTCCAACTTTCTCCTATGGAGTGGCAAGTGATTTCTAACTGCTGGCCACAGAATTAGCAGTCTGATGCGTAGCCAGGGCTCCCTAGAGGAAAGAACATAAACAAAATCATAAAACCAATGTCACTGCCCTAGAGTTGATACTAACTCGTAGCGATCCAACAGGACAAAATAAAAGAGTTTCCCAGGTTAAGACTGAATTTAGGAGCCCTGGCGGTGTATTGGTTATGCTTTGGGCTGTGATCCGCATGGTCAGCAGTTCTAAAACCTCCATAGAAAGACTGGGCTTTTCACTCCCTTGAACAGTTACACTCAGCTCTGAGCCAGTAATGACTCTATCACAGTAAGTTTGGTTTGGGGTATGGGCGCAAAAAGCTCCATCTTTCTGCCATGAAGCTGCTAGTGGTTTCAATTGCAACTTGAAGCCCTAACCCCCGTTCCACCAGTGCCCCTTGGGGAAGGAGCAGAAGTTGGAAAATAAGGCTTTGATGATAGAAATGAAGTTGGTTATCACATGATAAAATATTTAAAGACCAATGACATCATAAAAATACCTTTTTTAACAAGACAAAAGATGACTATATATGTGGACTTCTCCAGATGGCATGCACAGGAATCATAATGGCTACATCTGTGGGACAAGACAACAGAAAAGCAACTAAAACCAGGCCATGGGCCAACAATGAAACAGACCATCACTTGTTATATGTAAGTTCAGGTTGACGCTGAAGAAAATTAAAACAAAATATGACCTGAGTCTATTTCTTCTGGACTTTGAGAACATCTCGAGAACAGATATGCTGCATTGAACACGAATGACAGAAGACCTGGTGAGTTGCGGGAGGGCATCAGGAATGTCATACACGAAGAAAGTAAAATGTCACTCAAATGACAGGAAAAGAAAAAAAGGGCATGGATGTCAGAAGTAACAGAAACTTATTCTTAATCATTGAGTGTCAAAGGAAAATGGAAGAATTAATGAAGTCAAAGTTCTGGACAGAAAATTCAAATATTAGAGAATAAAAAATAAAATTATAATGAAGTGTGCAAAGACCTGAAGTTAGAAAATAAAAAATAAAGAACACAGTCAGCATATCTTCAACTGAAAGAACGCAAGAAAAAATTCTAGCCTCTAGTTGCAATATTAATGATGCTACGGGTAAAACATTTAATGTTACAGGAAGCATAGAAAGAAGATGGAAAGAATACACAGAATCCCTGTACCAAAAAGGACTAGGCGACAGTCTACCACTTCAAGAGGTGGAATATAAGCACTGAAGAAAGAGGTTCAAGCTGCACTGAAAGTATTAGACAAAAGTAAAGCTCCAGAAATTGATGGACTAACAAATGAAATGTTTGACCAAGTTCATGAGACACTGGAAATACTCACTTGTGTATGCCAGGAAATATTGAAGACAATTATGTGGCCAACTGACAGGGAGAGATGCATATTTGTACCCATTCCAAAGAAAAGTATCCCAACAAAATACTCAAATTATATAACAATATTCTTAATATCACGTGCAAGTAAAATTTTGCTGAAGATCATCCAACAATAGTTTCAAAAATACATTTAAATGGATCTCCCTGTGGTTCAGGTCAGATTCAGAAGAGAAAGTGGAAAAGAGATATCGTTGCTGATGTCAGATAAGGGCAGAGGATACCAGAGAGATGTTTACTTGTGTTTTATTGACAATGCAAAGGCATTCAATTGTGTAAATAAACTTGGGAGAATAATTCTAGAGCACTTCAATGTGCTCCTGTGGCACCTGTGTATGGATCAAGAAGCATTTGTGCAAACAGAACAAGAGTTTGCTGGGTGGCTTACAAGCAGGAAAGGTGTTCATCAAGGTTGTATCCTCTCATATTTATTCAACCTATGTGCTGAGCAAATCATCCGACAAGTTGTATTACATGCAGAAGAACATGCATTGGAGAGAGGCTTAGTAATAATCCTGCAAATGCAAATGACACATTCTTGCTTCCTGAACTTATGAAGGACTTGCAGCACTTGCTGAGGAAGATGAAGAAATAAAGCCTTCAATATGAGCTACAACTCAATGTAAAGATAACCGAAATCTTCACAACTGGACCAATAGATAACAGCATACTATGTACAAAAAACATTGACGTTGTCAAGGATTTCATCTTGCTGGAATACACAATCAACACTAATGGAAGCAGCATAAAGGGATCACATGACATATCATGTTGAGTAAAGCTGCTGCACAAGACCTCTTCGGACATGTAGATTATGACAAAATAATAACAATTTATAAATTATCAAGGGTTCATGAGGGGAGGGAGGGAAAAAATGAGGATCTGATACCAAAGGCTCAAGCAGAAAACAAATATTTTGAGAATGATGATGGCAACAA